TGAACCCCAGCACGCCCCTGCCCCATGGGCCGCGCGCCGGGTCCCGGGCCCCCGCTCTATCCCAGCCCCAGGCTCAGCCACCCCAGGCCTTCCCGCCCCGCCCCACCCCGCGCGCCCAGGTAGGGGTGCGCGGTGTCCCGCTCCTCCCCTCCCCCTGACTCTTGTGCCAAACGGTCCCGCGGGAGCCGCTCTCCCCGTCCCCTCCCTCAGCCCCTGCCCCGAGCGCCGGATTCTGGGCTCCCGCTGTTCCGTGACCTCCGGCCCCCTGGCCCCCTCCGAGACCTTTGACCCCGCCGGAACCCGGAACACCAGTGAGGATCGCCGGGACCCAGCCCGTGGACGCGCCGGGAGGACTCCGCAACCCCCAGCCACTGCTCCTGGGACGGATACTGTGAAGCTGGCCGTGACTCTGAAAACTTCCCTTGGATCTGTGACTTCGGACCCGTGCTCTGTCACCCCATCTCTATCCCGGAGACCTCCCTCAGGTCCCCGGAAGAAAGACCTTTTCCCCTTCTTGCCAAAATAAAAAGGATTCGTTGAGTTTGTATCTATAAGATGGCCTCTTTTACATTGATGATGCTCAGAGACGCGGCTGAGCAAAACCGTTCCAGACTCGGGACCTTAGTGTGTCCATCTGTGAAATGGCCTCTTGGGAGAGGCCTGCATAACCTGACCCAGAATCTGAGAGCACCCGAAAATATGAATCCTTTAGTCCTGTACTGCACCGCTCTCTTATTTTGACCTTCTCTTCCCCAGTCAGAGATAGAGACGCCCTCCAGTGGCGGATACTTTGTTCGGGCATCTGTACCCCGAGCTTGGGTTACAATTTTAGCATTGCGCATGTGCAATCCTCTCTTTTTTCACAGGCCAAGCCGACCTATGCTGCGCATGCGTCTGGGTACAAATGGGCGGGGAAGTTTCCGGAAGTCCCTTTTGTGGAGGGGTAGGGTTTGGGGTTCCGCAGTCCTCCCATGGCCGCTCTGACCTTAGGCTCCGCGACTTCTCGCCTCCTCTCCCAGCCCCCAGTCCTCCCACCGCGGCCGCTCGGCCCCGCCCCCTCGCCCACCCCGCGGTCTTCCCGGGGCCGCTCTGGCTCGAGAGTCCCTTCGTCTCTGTGATCTGGCCTATCCGGCTCCGGAGGGAGGCGCGGGTGGGTGAGCCGGGGAGTGAGTCCTGCGTTCCAGGCCCGAGCCGGTGAGGACGGGCTCCGCCCCCGTCGGGAGCCTCTCCCGGCCCGGCCCGGCCCGCACCCTCTATGGAGGCCCTCGTCCGGCTGTAGGGCCCCTCGCCTCATGGGGACCCACCCATTTCTAAGGTCCGGTTTGGCCCGTAGCGGTCCGCGTCTTTAATTGCTGGACATCGTGTATGGGGTCAGCCAGCCTATGGGGGCCTGTGTCTATAAGGGACTCCCACGGTCCCTAGGGGTCGGCCCTGCCCATAGCAACCCCGTTTACAGGGCCTATCATGGGTCTGTAGGGTCCACCTTTCGACTTCCAGAACCCTTCAACAGAGGCAGGTCCCTGCGCGGGGCCTGCGACTCCTGGGCCTCCCCGGGCTACCAGGCCATGTCCCGTCCATAGAGGTCGCATTTTCGGCATCGGTGGAGGGTCCGTGCCATCTGTAAGGGTCAGTGCTGGAGGCGGCGATGGCCCTGGGCCGGGCTCTGGCCGCCGTGCTGGCTCTGTGTTTGGCCATGCTGGGGCCGATGTCCCCTGGGGCCCGGGCTGGGGACTGCAAGGGGCAGCGGCAAGTGCTGCGGGAGGCCCCAGGCTTCGTGACGGATGGTGCGGGCAACTACAGCGTCAATGGCAATTGCGAGTGGCTCATCGAGGGTGAGTGGGGCAGTGCGGGTCACACACCCAGTCATTTGCTAATTCATTCATTTGCGAACTCATTCATCCATTCACCACATCCCCAGAGTCCTTTTCTGTGCCAGGCCCTTTGCTCTAAAAAGCAGCCCACCTGAGCCCTGCCCTGCAAGGCCTTGACGTCTGGTGGGGGAGTTGTACCCAGAGCTAGGGCATCAATAGGGGTATTCTGAGTAATTGTTAGGAACTTGGGCTCGGAGCCCAACCGTCTTGCTTCAAATTTCGGATCCACTTCTAACTAGTTTTGTAAATTTGGGAAGGTGGCTTTCTTTTTCTGAAGTTCAGCTTGCCCTCCCCCAAGTGGGGATAATAATAATACTTCCGACCGCTCCACTCCCTCAAAGGGTGGTTGGAATGAAATGAGAACAGGTTTTTAACATGCCTGGCAAATAGTAAATGCTCAGTACATGATATTAGGGTTATTACTGTTGTCATTTTTAAAGTATCAATAAAAAGCATTTTTTTTTCAATCATTCATGTGCCAGATACTATATTTGCTACTGAGACATAGCAGAGACCAAGGCAGTCCCAGAAGTCCCTGATGACTTGAGGCTTGGGATCCAGTGGGGGAGACAACACATTAATAGTCAGTCCAGAGTAGTTGGTACTGTGATGGAGGAACCCCACAGGTGTGGGGGATCCTAGAGGAGGTGCCTGGCCTGGGGGCCAGGGAGAGCAGAGGGCTCTTCTGAGAGGAGATGTCTGAGCTGAGAACTAAAGGACCAATAGGAATCAGTCAGGAGGAGGAGGAAGAGCAGTCCAGGAAGAGGGAACAGCCTGTGCAAGGGCCCCAGCCCTATCCTCATGGGTTTCCAGTCCAGTGGGGGAAACACACTTACCTTCCAGGAGAGGGAAGCCCAGAGGAAATGTCTGACTTAGTTTGGGCAATAGCTGAGACCAGAGGCATATGTAGGAGGGAGCATAAGAGCATTCCAGGCAAAGAGAACAGCCCGTACAAAGGCCTGGATGCAGGAGGGTATGCTGCTTTTGAGGAAGTAGAAATGCAGTGTGTAGAATGCAGAATACAACAAGATAAACCATGAGCCAGAAGCTGAGGCTTGAGGGGAGGCAGAGGGTGTAGGACCGTGTGATTTTGAACTGTGTCCTTAGGGCAATAGGGAGGTGGAAGAGAAGTCCAGGAAGACTTACCTTGGCACGGATGTAGGAGCTGGCCCCCAAGGAGAGGTGGGGGTCCCCCAGGGGAGGTCTAAAAAATATATATTTTTATTGATTTCAGAGAGGAAGGGAAAGGGAGAGAGAAATATCAGTGATGCGAGAGAATCATTGATAGGCTGCCTCCTGCATGTCCCCGACTGGGGATCGAGCTCACAACCTGGGCATGTGCCCTTGACCCGAATCGAACCCCAGGACCCTTTAGTCTACAGCCTACGCCTATCCACTGAGCCAAACCTGCTAGGGCCATGCAGTGGTTTTTCAACAGGGGAAGGACATGATCTAATTTATGTTTTATATGTTGTTTATCTATGGCTGTTGTGTGGGGTGTGGATGAAGCATGTTTCTTGGGCATGTGTGTCTGTCCCTAGCTTTGGGGGCTATTTCTGTCTGTGGGGTGGTGAGAACAGAATGGGAAGTATGTGTATGTTTTGGGGGTATATGATATCTCCTGGCCTTGAAGAGCCTCAGCCTGTTTGTGGACACAGTGAGCCCAGGTCTGAGACAGAAGGAGGTACAGGGTTGGGTAGAGGCGCCTATAAGGGAGTGAGAGGACACTGCTGGGGATCACAGAGGAGAAGCCACTGGAGCAGGGTTCTGAAGCATGCATAGGAGTTTGTTTACTGGGTAAGAACAGGGAACAGCCTCTATGAAGACAAAGAAGAGGTTGGTGTCTTAGGAGCCACATATAGGTTTTTCTGGTCTGGCTAGACTGTTAGTTGAAAGGTGAGGAGGGGACCAGAAGCAGGGGAAGAAGGGCCTTGAATTGCACTCACACCAGCTTGGCTTTGCTCTTGGGATTGAAGGGGAGCTACAGAAGGATTTTGAGTAGGAGTGGGACTTTGCTCTCAAGCCAAGTGGGGGCAAGCTGGGAACCTGGTGTGCTAGTCTTGCAGGAGAGGATGAGTTCTGACTCGGGCAGGAACTAAGGAGGTGGTGAGGCGGGGAGGGCACTGAGAGATGTTTGTGAAGTTTCACCAATGAGACTTGGGGGCCTACTGGCTGGATGTTGGGGTAGGGGGGAGTCTGGGAGATTTCCAGATCCCATTCTTCCCAAAGCCTATCACCTTTGAAACCAACATATTCCCCTACCTATTAAAGAAATAAGCCACTTACTTTTGTACTAAGTTCACATTTTATTGTGCAGTCCTAATAATATCCTCATGAATAAGAGGCTTTTGCTTTTGAAGAGCAGGGGGTTTTGTGGTTGGATCTCTTCTGGATGGCATGGGGGTGGGCCCATGTTGGGCGGAAACAGGAGACCTTGAACTTAGGGAGGAACTTGGGGAAGGCAGATGGTGCCAGAGGCAGGCACTTAACAAAGATGTACTTGTTTTGAGCTTTATAGTTTGGTTGAGGCTGGTAAGACTGGGAGTTCTTGTCTGGTCTGGGTGAATGGTTCTGCGTTCCCCAGACCATAGCTCGGGTCTGTTATGATGTTCTCTGGGGCTGTGGTCATTGCCTGAGGGAGGGCTGCCAACTTCATTATTTTGTCTTTTGTGCATTTCCTCATTCTTTCATCCAGCATTTCCCATCCCTTGCTCAGTGCTAGGCTCTGTGCTGGGTAATGTCAGGAGGGAACCCAAGATGAGTTAGGTCCAGGCCCTGCCTGTGGGCCTCCTCAGCTGCAGGGGAGACAGACCTGGCTACAGATGGTCCTGGCTCAGAAGAATGAAGGTTATGATGGGAAGTGAGAACCCCTAAGAGGGGTACCTAATCCAGCCAGGGGGTATGGGGGAAGGCTTCCTGGAGGAGATGGGGAAACTTGCAGGCAGGCAGGGAGAATGTGCTCCAGATAGAGGGAGGAGCATGTGCAAAGGTCCAACACCTGGTAGAGCTACAAGCAGTGGGGTGACGTGAGACCAGGTGAGACTTCAGATGTCAGTTAGAGAGCTGGATTTTCTCCTGAGAATGGTGGGAGCCACGGTGCTTTTGGGCAGCGAAGGGCCAGGGCCAGATGTTGAGTTGGGAAGGTCACTCAGAGATCCATGTCAGGGCAAGATGGAAAGCTGAGAGGCTAGGACGGAGACTGATCAGTGGTCCCGGTGAGACCACAGGCCTGGGCTGGCACATTAGCGTCACCGTCTCGAATCTCCACTCTAGCCTTAGTGGGTGGGGAAACTTATCCCCATTTTACATGCAGGAAACTGAGGCTCAGAGAGCCCATGGCACTGGCCCAAGATCACACAGCTAGTGAGTTCTCTGTGAACATCTCCAGTATGCAGACTCTACCCCCAGGCGTGGCGGAAGGGGCTGGCCCAGGGTCTTCAGCAGGTCAGGAACAGAGCTGGAACCCAAGTCTAGTTGCCCTAGCCCAGAAGACTTCCATGAGCTCTTAGTGTGAGGTGTGGGATGAGAACCTTCTGGAACCAGGACCTGGCAGAGAGCAAGAATCTTGACAGTACTCGAAGTAGCAGCACTTAGGACTGCTAGGCCCCACTAAGCCCTTTATGTGCATTATCGCCTCTCATGCAGGCACAGTCATGTATCAGCTGGGGCTGCAGTCGTCTGAACACTCACTCACCTGGGCTGGGCATCCAAGAATCCTGCTCAGGGCTGGCAGTTGATGCTGGCTGTCAGCTGAAAACTCAGCTGGGGCTGTCAGCTCGGATGCCTACAGGTGGCCCCTGCGTGTGGCTTTGGCTTTTTATAGCACGACAGCTATGTTCTGAGAAGGAGCATTCTGTACCGCTCAGGTAAAAGCTGCAGAGCTTCCTCTGATCTAGCCTGAGAAGTCCCAGAATGCCACTTCTGCTGCTTTGTTGGTCAAACTAGTCTCTGAGGCTCTTCCCAGATATAAAGGGCAGGGCCTCAGCCTTCCCCTCTCACTGGGAGGAGTGGCCAGGGTGTGAATCCACCACAGTACCATTATGTCCTCACTTGACAGATGAGGAAACCTGTCCAGAGAGGTTAGGTGACGTGCTCAGGGTCACATAGCTAGTAACTAATACATGGCAGAGCCAGGATTTGAGTCCTGGCAATATGGCTCCAGAGTCTGCCCTTAGGTACCACAGTAACAGAGAGGTGAGACCCTGGGTGGCCAGAGAAGAGCTGTGGTGCTCTGAGGGTCAGCCTGTGTGCAGGGGAAGGAATCAGCCTCTTCCCTAGGAACACTATTCGGCCTGGAACCGGGAACTTTCACAGAGGCCCTTTTCCATCTGGGATATGCCTCTCTGCTCGGGCCTGGGCCCCATCCCCCAGGCCTGGGTGTGTCTGAAGCTAAATGAGTGTGGAATCTAATGAACAAAATAAACTGATCCAGAGAAATAGAAGCATAGAACAGACTGCAGAATCTCAGAGGGAAGGTGGGGGAGGGTGGGTAGGAAGAGAGCAACCAAACAACTTGTACGCACATATGCATTGCCCGTGGACACAGACAAGAGGGTGGTGAAGGCCTGGAGTCAGGGGTTGGGACCGGCTAGAAGGGATCAGTAGGCGGGGGGAGTGGGGGGGAAGAGGTCATATGTAATACTTTCAACAAGTTTTAATTAAAAAAAAATGAGCCCGGCCTGCATGGCTCAGTGGTTAAGCTTCAACCTATGAACCAGATCACAGTTCGATTCCCGGTCAAGGCACACGCCTGGGTTGCGGGTTCCGTCCCCATCAGAGTGGGTGTGGGAGGCAGCCAATCAGTGTTTCACTCTCACATCGATGTTTTTCTCTCTCTCCCTTCCTCTCTAAAATCAATAAAAACCTATCTATAAAAGCTCAGCTGGCATGGCTCAGTGTCAACTATGAACCAGAATCATTAATGAGCTGATCAATGATTCTCTCATCATTTTTTTCCTTTTTTTCCCCTTTATTGAATAAGATATTACAAATGTGTCCTTATCCCCCCAATGTCCCTTCATCCCCCCAATCCTGCCCTCACCCTCACCCCCTTTTGCCCACATCCATCACTTATGATTCTCTCATCATTAATGTTTCTATCTCTCTTTCCTTCTGCACTTCCTGTCTGAAATCAATAAAAAAAGAAGAAGAAGAAGAAGAAGAAGAGTAAATGGGAACAGCTCTGTCTGGGCACTGAGATGGGCTTCCTCTCTCAGCAGGTCCATTGCCCATCTGAACAGTGAGGGTGGTCATCCCGACCTCAGGAGTCCTTTCCAGGGCTGAGACTGCAATCCTCTGAGCTCTGACCTCCCTGGGCTGTGAGACGAGGAGCCTCAAACACAGGGCATCTCATTATGCAGAGCAGGGTCCGGTGTTTGTGGGTGGTCTGCGTGAAGGTGTGGGGCGAGGGTTCACATCTGAGCCTGGCCCCTCTGTTTCCCCACCCAGCACCGAGTCCCCAGCACCGGATCCTGCTGGACTTCCTTTTCCTTGACACGGAGTGCACGTATGACTACCTGTTCGTGTATGACGGTGACTCCCCCCGCGGGCCCCTGCTTGCCAGTCTGAGCGGGAGCACCCGACCCCCACCCATCGAGGCTTCCTCTGGCAAGGTTGGTGGGGCTGGGCCGTAGGCTGTGGCTGGGGGATCTCGGTGCAGTGTGGGGCAAGTGGGTAGATGCACACAGGGAGGGACAGCGAGACATGGAAGGGACATGGCATCAGGCAGAAGGACACAGGGACAGAGAAAGGTGGAGAGAGACAAAGAAAGGAGGTGGGGACTTCCAGTGGGCAGGATGGACCACCTCCCGGTCAGGTCCCTGAACCCTGTCCACTTGTGCCTACAGATGCTGCTGCACCTCTTCAGCGATGCCAACTACAACCTGCTGGGCTTCAATGCCTCCTTCCGCTTCTCCTTGTGCCCTGGGGGCTGCCGCAACCATGGGCAGTGCCGGTCCCCGGGGGTGTGTGCCTGCGAGCCAGGTTGGGGGGGCCCTGACTGTGGCCTGCAGGAGTGTTCGGCCTACTGTGGCAGCCATGGCACCTGTGCCTCGGTGAGCCTGTCCCCCGGGCCCTGGCCTGTGACCACACCTGCTGCTCCCATCTCCTGGATCTGACTGCCTTGTCTGACTCCCCCGCCACTCCATTGACACTGACCCCACACCAGCGACCCTGCTCTCATCCGCAGCACTGCCTCTCATTCCGGATTTCACCCTACCTCAGTGATGGCGAACCTTTTGAGCTCGGCGTGTCAGCATTTTGAAAAACCCTAAGTTAACTCTGGTGCTGTGTCACATATAGAATTTTTTTGATATTTGCAACCGTAGTAAAACAAACATTTATATTTTTGATATTTATTTTATATATTTAAATGCCATTTAACAAAGAAAAATCAACCAAAAAAATGAGTTTGCGTGTCACCTCTGACACGCGTGTCATAGGTTTTCCATCACTGCCCTACCTGCTACTCCAACCCCACCCCACCTTCGCCTGGGGCCCCTCATCTGCCTGACCCCACTCCTGTTCTCATCTACAACTCACCTCTCACCTTGCTTCCTCTTGCCAGGCCTGACTCCATCCCCCCACCCAGCCACGCAGTCTGGCATTATTCCCCCGGCCATGACTTTGACTTGCAACCACTGACTTGGGCCCCAAGACTTGCATGTCTATCTTTGGGACTGGATCATGCCTTGAGCCCTACCTGTCTTGACCTCCCCAGATCTGAGCTCTTCTAGCTCAGACATTGACCTCACCATCTTTGTTTGCCAATCTGTTTTCCTTCTGTCTTCATTTTTCCCTCTGGTCTTTCTCTCTTTTTCTCTTGGTCTGTCTTCTTTTCTCCACCTCTCTGCCTCCTCTGGTTGTGTCCCTTTTTTCCACTATTTATCTGTCTCCTTCCTGTCTCTGTCTCTCTCCCTTTGCTTATATGCCTCTTTATTTTCGCCCATTCTCTCCTTCCCTGTTCATCACTCTCCTTCTCCCTTTCTGCTCCACGTCTCTCACTCTGGCTCTGGGTCTCTTCCCCCTTTCTCCCTCCCTCTCTCTCTCTCTCCCCTGCCTTTGTGTCCCCTTCCCCCTAGCCCCTGGGACCGTGCCGCTGTGAGCCTGGCTTCCTGGGACGTGCCTGTGACCTGCATCTGTGGGAGAACCAGGGGGCTGGCTGGTGGCACAATGTGAGTGCCGGGGACCCTGCCTTCCCTGCCCGTGTCGGGGCAGCTGGTGCCTTCCTGTCCCCACCAGGGCTGTTGGCCGTTTTTGGAGGTGAGCAAATGGGTGTGTGTCTGGGGTCTGGAGGCCTGGCAGCCTGTGGCCAGGGCTTGAGACCATCCTCCTTTCATAGGCCAGGACCTCAACAGCGCCTTGGGTGACCTCGTGCTGTATAACTTCTCTGCCAACACCTGGGAGCGCTGGGACCTGAGTCCTGCTCCGGTATGGACCCCACCTCTGCCCTGCCTGGAGGCGCCTGCCCACTCTGTCAGCCCCAGTAAGGGCCTCCCAGAGCCGCCTCTTCACCTATAGCCCCTCAGCCTGCAGCTTGATAGGGGAACACCTCCTTTGTCTCTGCTTTCCGTCTCAGATTTTTTTTTGTCTTTCTTTATATCCCTTTCTACATCTTATCTTTCTGTGTGTCTTGTCTCGCTCCTGGTCCATCTCTCTGACCCTTGATCCTTGTGTCTCCTCTCTGGACTGTATCTCTACTTCTCTGTTTTTCTCTGTCATTTCTCCTTCTGTTTCTGTCTCCCTGGCTCTGCCTTCCTTATTGTGTTTCTTTGTTTCTCCTCTGCTTTATTCACATGTGTCTGTCTGTCTGGGTCTGTCTCTCTTCTGTCTTTGCATGCTCTTTGTCTTTCTCTCTGTGTCTATCTCTGTCTCTGCATCTCTGTGTCTGTGTGTGGCTCTTTCTGTCATTCTGTGTGTCACCATCTGTTTTCCTCTCCATCTCTGTCTCCTCGTCTCTTCCTCACAGGCTGCCCGTCACTCCCATGTGGCTGTGGCCTGGGCCGGCTCCCTGGTGTTGATGGGCGGCGAGCTGGCTGATGGCTCCCTCACTAGCGACGTGTGGGCCTTCAGCCCTCTGGGCGGGGGCCACTGGGAGCAACTGGCACCACCTGCCTCTAGTTCCTCGGGGCCGCCAGGCCTGGCAGGTCATGCAGCCGCCTTGGTGGACAACATCTGGCTCTATGTGTCTGGTGGCCGCACCCAGCACGACCTCTTCTCCTCTGGCCTCTTCCGTTTCCGCCTTGACAGCACCAGTGGGGGCTATTGGGAGCAGGTGATTCCGGCAGGTGGGCGGCCCCCTGCCGCCACCGGCCACTCCATGGTGTTTCACGCCCCATCTCGAGCCCTGCTGGTTCATGGTGGACACCGGCCTTCCACTGCCCGGTGAGTGACCTGCCTCACAACCTCTGCTCTGCAGGGCCAGGCCTGGCCCAATACCTGGGCTTCGTCTTCAGTGGGCTTTGCCAACCGATGGACTCCTGTAGGCATTCAGTCACTCCTTCCTTCATTTATTCACTCATGCACGCACCCACTCAATCTCTTGGTCACTTGCTTCCCCACACACTCCCACTGTCCGTCCATTCCACCAACCCCTTCTTGGTGTCCAGCTCTAACTAGATTATGCAGGACCCAGATATAAGTCTAACCTGGGTCCTGTCCATAGGAGCTTCTAGTTCTGAGGGGACATAAGCCCAGTTACCTCCGGTCTCCACCCTGAGTGATTATACAACTTGAACAGCCCAGAGGAGGGACAGAGGCCCCTTGTGCCCTGAGCCCTTCCTTCTGCCTTCCCCTACAGATTCTCTGTGCGGGTGAACTCCACTGAGCTCTTCCATGTGGATCGGCGTGTGTGGACAACCCTGAAGGGCCGGGATGGGCTGCAGGGCCCACGGGAGCGAGCCTTCCACACAGCCAGTGTCCTGGGCAACTACATGGTGGTCTACGGTGAGGAGGCTTCCTGCCTGCCTGCCTGCCGGGGTCCAAAGCAACCCTGAGCTGAGGCTCCTTGCGCGGGTGCCCCACCTCCCCCAGCCTTGCCAGCTGTGCCCCTTCCCTTCTTTCCCAGGAGGCAATGTGCACACCCATTACCAGGAGGAAAAGTGCTATGAAGATGGCATTTTCTTCTACCACCTGGGCTGCCATCAGTGGGTGTCAGGGGCTGAGCTTGCTCCGCCAGGAACGCCTGAGGGTGAGTGACCCCTCTGTTTTCCTGAGGGGCTCCTGGAGGTCACACTTCCCCCCACAGTGAATCTGGGCTTTGGGCAAGAGCCACCTGGGTCCTTGTCGGGGTGAGCCAGACATGCTATTTGAGCCTGCTCAGGGGGCAAGCCTGCACTGCAGACGGGACTAGGGCATTGTTGTCATGGAGATGGGAGGCAGTTACAGCTGCATCAGACCTAGGTTCCAGTTCAGGTTTGTCAGTTTCCATAGGGAAATGCCCACGAAGAGGTAACTTTTTCAGGGTCACACAGTGGGCAAGGGCAAAACCAGGATGGCTGGCCCCAAAGAACTACCTGTGCAAAAGCCATAATTAGGGGGTGTGTGGAGAGCCTTTCAAACTCATTAGATCAGGTTCCTTCCTCACTGTGCAAAAGCCATAATTAGGGGGTGTGTGGAGAACCTTTCAAACTCATTAGATCAGAAAGGGGGCGTATCATTTCAGGGGACTGTGGACTTCCCAGAGGCCCGTCTGTTCTCCGCACTCCACTGAACAGAAGAGCAAGGACAGAGGAAGGGTGGACACTTAGAGGGAAGGTCCCCAAGGAACCTTGTGTAGCCATCAGGGATAAAGGCTGGGCCTGACATTTGAGATCTCCCATCCAGGACTCCTCTGCCTGTCCCTCTCCCTCTTTTAGGCTCCTTTACTGGGCAGGCGAGAATGTGAGATTTTTGGAAGTCTCTTCCTCTTCTGTAGTTTGTTATTCCCTGGACCAAGACCCAGCTGCTTACAGAGCATTCGGGTTCAGTAAGAGGGTGGGGGAGTCATCAATCACTGATCACTTACCTGTCGGTCAGGACTCTTGGTTGTAAGTGACAGAAATCTAACCCAACCAGCTTAAGCAAAAGGGAGAATTTCTTGGCTAACTTGAGTGAAAACTCTGGCCAGCTTCAGGTTGGGCTGGATCCAGGAGCTCATATGATGGCATTAGCCATTTTTCTCTCCAGTTCTCGCTGAGTTTATTTCAGTCTCCAGCCAGCTTTCCTTTTGTAGATGGTCACCAGCAGCTCTTGGATGATATTTTACCCCTTTAAAATGCTCAGAGGGGCCCTGCCGGTATGCCTCAGTTTGCTTAGCGTTGTCCCATGCACTGAGAGGTCGAGGTTTGATTCCCAGTCAGGGCACATGCCCAGATTGCAGGCTAGATCCCCAGTAGGGGGGCATGCAGGATGCAGCCAATTGATATTTCTCATCCATGTTTCCCTCGTTCCTTTTCTCTTCCTTTCTCTCTAAAATTAATAAAAACATATTTTAAAAAAATTCTCAGAGGGAAGAGAGTGTTCCCCCCCCCCCCCAAGAATTATAGGAATTGAGTTCCATCCTGAACTAATCACTGACACTGATAAGCCTGGGCTAAAGCCCCACTTTTGCCCGAAGCAGGTATGGCTTGACTTGAACCTTGTGGACTGGAAGAGGGAGAAGGTTGTTTTCTAGGGGAAAATCAGAGACTGTCCCCAGAAGGGAGGCTACTGCCAGGCAGACAAAAAGCAGGTGAGAGCCAGGCAGCTCCGTAAGGGCAGAGAGCACAGAATCGGAGACTTCGAGTTTCTGGCCCAAGGCTACCCTGCTAGCCAGTAGTTGATCCGTGATTTAAACTCAAGTAAATGTTAGACCCAGGATTTGAACCCAAGTTTTTCTTTTTCTTTTTTAAATATGTTTTTATTGATTTCAGAGAGGAAGGGAGAGGAAGAGAAAGATAGAAACATCAGTGATGAGAGATAATCATTGATCGGCTGCCTCCTGTATGCTCCCTTCTGGGGATCAAGCCCACAACCCAGGCATGTGCCCTTGCCTGGCATTGAACCGGGACCCTTCAGTCCGGCGCTCTATCCACTGAGCCAAACCAGCTAGGACGAACCCAAGTTTTTCTGACCCTAGAGATCATACTCTGTCTGACAGGTGGCTTGTGTAGGGTTATGGGAGGCCAGAGGAGAGAAAGGACGAGCTGGTGCAGGGCCAGGCAGGCTGGGTGGGTTTCCATGGGCAGGTGGTTTGAAGCAGGAGCTAGGAGACTGAGCTGAGGCTTAGGAGAGCCAGTGTAGTCCTCTGGGCAGGGGAGCCACCAAGGAGGGACCGGAATTGGGGGGGGTCACATGTCCTTGGGGGTCTGTATTCTTCTAGGCCGAGCAGCGCCTCCCAGTGGTCGGTATTCACATGTGGCAGCTGTGCTTGGTGGCAGTGTCCTGTTGGTGGCTGGTGGGTACAGTGGCCGGCCCCGTGGGGATTTGATGGCCTACAAGGTGCCCCCCTTTGTGTTCCAGGCGCCTGCCCCAGACGTGAGTATTGGGGTGATAGGGAGAGGGTGGCTGGGGAGGAGGCGGCGTGATTCCCACAGATGAGAAAGTTGGGAGTCCTTGGGATAAACAGTGGGAGTCCCTAGGTTCATGAGAGGAGGGATGTTGGCTCCCAGGTTCAGGGGAGGAGGGAAGGAGGCAGAGGGGCAGTATTTCCTGGCACTGGAAGAGGATTGGACAGGGATCCTCAAGGTGCTGAGCAGTCGGGGTACCCTGAGATGATCAAAATGAGTGGGAATCTAGGAATAGGCCCCCGTCTGAGGAGCCCCTTCCTCCACCCCCATCTCTCTACAGTACCATTTGGACTATTGCTCCATGTACACGGACCACAGTGTCTGCTCTCGAGACCCCGAATGCAGTTGGTGTCAGGGGTCCTGCCAAGCTGCACTGCCTCCTGGGACCCCCTCAGGGGCTGTGAGTAGCTGTCCTCACACTGCCCCTTGCACAGAGACCATCCCTCAGTGTCTCCCTCCCTCTACTGA